GGGGTGGGGTTCCATCTTCTGTAGGTTAGTTTAGGTTGGGTGGGGGTTGGGGGGGAGATGAGGAAGAAGATGATTTTTTTTAAGGTGGTCAAATTTACCTTTATACCCTTTTAAGTTGGTCAAAAATTGGTCAAAATTCAATTTTATTGGTCAACTAACGGTCAAACAGATGGAAACCGTCCATTTGGATCCCATGTTCATATCTTTGAAAGGTTTGGGACTGTGGTTGGCACAAACTAAAGGTTTGGGTAAAGTCTGCTAATAAACGAAAGGTTTGGTACCTCGGCTGCAATTTTCCCTATTTTAAACAAGGGATACTTTCGTCATTTGACCCTTCGAAGGTAACAAAAACTATAGAAGAAAACAGGGGAAAGAAGCGTAAATGTTTAAGACCAAAGAAAAAAAAAAGAAAAAAAAAAGAAAAGGTCTTCTTGAGATGAAAACATTGTTACATAACGCTGTTCAGCTACTGCAGAACGACACCTTGATGTCAGCATCACCTTCATTTTCGTCTCCAGTCGCTTTACAGTAGAATACAGCAGAACACACATCAATCCCATCGATCGTCAAGCATCCCTTGCTCTCAAGAAAAGTGAAAATACAACTGCTACTCCCATCCACTCTTCCGATAGGTTGCCTCCCGTTAAAAGAAAATGACCATGGGTAAAACCACCTTATCTCTGTAAATCTCCTTCCGATTTCATCTGATGCGTTTCAGTTATTAGTGAACCTAGTTAGATTGGTAGTGGATTGTAATATTAGTTAATCAGATAAATGGATTGGCTGTCAATAAAAAGGGGCCCAGGTAGTGTGCCAATTGTGCACAACAGTGATCGATATGAGTTTATTAAGGATATTGGAGGAGGTAATTTCGGGATGGTCTGGCTCTTGAAGGATAAACAGGTCAATGAGCTGGTTGCTGCTAAGTATATTGAGCGAGGCGATCGGGTGAGATTAGTATTTTTCAATAGCAACTCATGTTCGCTGTACTTCGTTTTCTCTACCATTGGAAATTGTTTTCCAGTAGTAATGTTGAAATAACTCTAATTTTGCAGTTATTTTTAGTGGCACATACATGGAAAATCTTATTTTTGGGAACATTTACAATTCCTGAGATTTTATATTTTCATTTTCTATTTTGGAGTTATAATTTTTTCTAGGAAATATTTCTCTTAAATGATTTCTAAAATAGGATAGACATTGTCTTCACACTTGTTAGCTGAAAAAAGAAAGTGAACAGATAAATAAAATTACAACTAGCAATATTCTATGCACAGATTAATAAAATTATTACTAGCAATATCCTATGCTGTCGTGCCTTTTTTGAGCAGTCATCGTTTTCTTCCTCTCAGGTCTTAGCAAGATAAGTAGCCAGTATATAATAATTCACTGGTACATATTATTGCCTTCCCTAAAGTAGTTCTTTGTAGAACCAATTTCCCGATGATTGCACTTCTAGAATTTTGTGGCCAAAGTTGAATGTTACATAAGATTTTTATAATTCTTTTATGCATATATATATTGTAAATCGTGAACCAAGTATTTTTGTTATAAATGAAGATTTCAGTAACTAGTACATTGTACAATAAAAATCGAGATACCACATGCTACTTCATAATGCCCAATGGAGTGGGTTAGAAATTTCATTCATGTAGCTTAGTATTGCTTTCTTGTGGAAAGTTCTATTGCATTGTCGGCATCTACTATATTAGTTCACGAAAATATCTTGCACATGAAGAGAAGGAATGAACAGGGCTTCTTGAGCTCATGAGAGTTGAAGGATAAAACTCGACCTCCATCTTTATAATCTTTTAAAAAGGGATGACAGGATTTCGCCCTTCCCCCAAAAGGGGGCTCAAACCCAGGTCATTTGCCTGGTAAGGCTTTGCTCTATCCACGGGAGCTAGGCCATAGTCTTAAGTTAATAGCACCATCTGAATTGGGCCAAATTTAGCACTCTTTTCTTGTGATTATTATGTTTATCAATAAAAATAAACATAGAATGGAATTTATGTAGACTGTCTAATAAGTAGCTGCCAAAAATGGCTTGGGTTTTCTCTCAGATGCTACGTGCTGTGTATACTCTAGCTCGACTTTTTAATATATACAATTACAATACCACAACTTTCTGATTCTGAGCATGTCATGTAATGTTTTGGTCTAGGAACTGAAATCTAAAGAAAATTTCATTTTTATTACCATTGGAGTTGATTTTGATGAAGCCTGATTTTCCAATGCAAAACGTGGTCTGGACGTTGTTGGGTTAAAATAACTTCATTGTTTATTCGGTGTTCTGTGTAGGAATGATATTTATTTATTGTAGCAGGATGCTTTTAGCTTTATTTTGTTCCTTAGCAAGTCTTGCTTTGACTTTGACAGGGTGCTGTTGATATAGTTGAGATCAAAGTTTGCTCCACCACGTATGATAATAAATGGAGTTAGTAAAGCAGTGAAAACTTAATAATCACAAGAATGCCTATAACCCATAAATAGTCAAAATGTAATTTTGGTTCCGTTACATATATTTATTCTCCTTTTTATTTTAAACAGAGAGAATGGCAAGAATTTGGTAAGACTAAATTGTTATAATCATTTGAGCATTCATTTTTGTATAGCGATGGTTGATCACTTTGTGGCTGACCAGCAGTTTCCTTCTGATAAATAGCTACACTATGCCTGACAACCTTTTGTATTTCTCCATTGTTCCCCCCAAGAAATGCCCAAAAGTTATGCTTTGATATTCCACGAAGTATTTCTTTTTGTCCTGCAGGGCTGGTGTTGGCTTCATGAGATATCTTCTATATTTGAACTCCTTTATATTTCTCTATTATCTTTTTGTACTTAACAATCACTGACCCTGGTAATGTTCATTGCAGATAGATGAAAATGTTCAAAGAGAAATCATCAATCACCGTTCTTTGAGGCACCCTAATATTGTTAGATTTAAAGAGGTTTGCTGCTGATTATCCCTTTGCCTTATTTATATGGTCCTGAGACATTTTATTTTCTTAATGGTCACATTTTCAACATCCAACATCAGGTCATTCTAACACCAACTCATTTGGCCATTGTCATGGAGTATGCATCTGGAGGAGAGCTTTTTGAGCGAATATGCAAATGCAATGCGGGACGCTTCAATGAGGATGAGGTTGTTATAATTAAATTGCTACTATTCTGTTATTCCATGCAGCACAATTGTGACTGATGATATTTACTGCTGTTTCTGGGGCAGGCTCGCTTTTTTTTTCAGCAACTTATATCTGGAGTCAGCTACTGTCACTCGATGGTATTCTAATGTTCTAGTGGAAAAGTCATGTATTATTTATGATTATTTTCTGCTTGTATTGATTGGAAATAAGCTGAAGGATCAATCTTACGTTTCATGATGAAGCAAATATGTCATAGGGACTTGAAGCTGGAAAACACGCTGTTGGATGGAAGCCCTGCTCCAAGACTCAAAATCTGTGATTTTGGGTATTCTAAGGTATTGCTTATGGATTGTTATGATTGGATTTTGATCAGCTTTCAGATAATACAGAAAACCCTGCTGTTCTATAATGTTTATTTGCTTTAGTATCTCCTAGTTATCTGCCTTGTCCTTTTCAATCCTGAGAATACCTTGTTGTTTTCAGTCTTCATTGCTGCATTCACAACCAAAATCTACTGTTGGAACTCCTGCATATATTGCTCCTGAGGTGTTACTTAGGAAAGAATATGATGGCAAGGTAAAACTATTCGCTCTGTTTTTGACAATTTCACACTATACATCATGAAAATGGTTGCGGTAATTTATATTCATGCATAGGAGAAACACAAAAAATATGCTAAGAACATCTGGATGTGGATTTCAGATATAATCTAATGAAATATTTGGATATCGTATTGCGTACTTTTGGTATGACATTATACTGAACACTTTACCTATTTCTTGACATTTGTTTGGAAGTTTCTTTATTCAACATCTGGGGTTGGGATGGAGGCACATTTGATAGGGATAATTGCAGCCACAGTCCCAAACCTTTCAAAACACTACGGATTTTACCTTAACCTTTCATTCGTTGCACCCGTGGTCCCAAACCATTCAAGTGCATACTGCTGAAGTCTATTAGTTTACCAAAAAAATAACTATGACCACATTTTTAACAATAAACAAAAGAAATCAAGAAACAGACGTCCCCAAACAAGCCAAAACATAACAATCCCTTACGCTGCCGTTGCCTACCACCACAACCACCAATCGCTGCCATGTAAATCCACACTTGAAGCAGATTCTTCCATGGAATCCCCATGGTATTCATTTACAGTAGATTCAAGCATATACATAACTCATATACATAAATCAACTGCATAAATTTGTTTCTCCATAACCCATATTCATAACTCACAGACAAAAAATTTCAATCGATCTCTCCATAAATGAATCTGCCTCCCATTCTGCAACTTACGGCCAACTCCTGATCAAAAGTATGAGAAGATTTGGACCAAATTTTTATTTTCCTTACCAATCGCTGCCATGTAAATCCACACTTGAAGCAGATTCTTCCATGGAATCCCCATGGTATTCATTCACAGTAGATTCAAGCATATACATAACTCATATACATAAATCAACTGCATAAATTTGTTTCTCCATAACCCATATTCATAACTCACAGACAAAAAATTTCAATCGATCTCTCCATAAATGAATCTGCCTCCCATTCTGCAACTTACGGCCAACTCCTGATCAAAAGTATGAGAAGATTTGGACCAAATTTTTATTTTCCTTAGTCCCCAACCACTTCTGGGCGAGATCGAAGAGCAAGAGGATATTGTCGAAATTTTCCACCCCATTGATTCCAAAGCATCAGATTTTAAAGCTACCCTTAAAATCTTGGTCCAGAAAGCATCTTAAAGCTTGCTTGTGCGGGGGGGGGGGGGGGGGGAAGAATAATAAGAAGAAAAAAGGGAAAAAAAAAAAGTGTGCAGCAATAGTTGTGCAGAAACAGAAATGCTTCTTTAAACTTGCTTTTATCAACAGAAACAGAAATGCGAACCAAACATGATATTCCTAGATCTGGAAATGAATAACAGTGCAACAATGATTGTGCTGAAAGAGTTTAGTGCAAAAAATGAAAAAAAATAGTTTCAGTAGGGGATGTTGACTGTGTGTGGTTTTAGTTTGGGGGTGGGGAAGAAGACGTCTGTGTTCTTTTTCTTTTACTTTTGTATTTTTTGGGTTTTTTATTTAGTTATTTTAATTATTTTATATTAAAAAATATGAAGTTACTATTTTTCCTTCTTGAGATTGTTAAAAATGTTGTTAAAGTTATTTTTTTGGTCAACTAACGGACATATAGATGGTTTCCACCCATTTGTCATCCAGCTGCACGCAATTGAAAAGTTTGGGACACAGGTGCAACAAATGAAAGGTTAATGGTAAAACCTGCAAAGATTTGAAAGTTTTGGGACGGTGATTGCAATTATCCTTATATGATATATGGAGAATAAAATGATTACTCTCACAAGAATTTTTCTATTAGTTCTTATATGATATTTATATTCATATTCTCAATTGCATTGAAAAAAAAAAAAAATTCTCTATGAACTCCTATAAGATCTGTGAGGTGTGAGGTAATCTTCTGCTTGGATCACCTGTTTTATTTCATTATGAAGACCCAACTTGTCTTACAATTTTCTAAATTGATAATCCCGAGTTGTTCTGGGTGAAGGTGAAGTTTTAAAATCTATAATGCCCGGCTAATGTTGTTTTTAAGTTTCTTCCATCCCTTGGTATTAGTGGTGCTTAATTTTGAGGGCCTTGTACATTTGTTTGCAGCTAGTGTATTACACTATTACATAATAAAACAATGTGGGAAAGAAAAAAAGATGTTTTGAGGGCGTTGTACATTTGTTCGCTGCGAGTATATCCCATAATAAAACAATGTGGGAATGAAAAAAAGAACATGTTTTACCGACTTCACTTTCCATGGAAAATCTGTTCTCATTCATACGGGAACAATTTAAGAGTACAAACTACGAACTAAAAACGGTAGGTACAAAATCATGCTAGCAGCATTACGAAATCTGTAGTTCTCAATTTATGCCCTTGTTTGATGGCCTTTAATTTAAATTACTTTACTTAAAATTTATTTTCATACTCATTTTCGACCACATATTCACACAATAATATATCGTACATGTAAATTCAAAATTTTCCCTACTTTTTTTTTTTTGAACCACACATTCTCCAAAAAATATTATTCAGAATATAATTTTTTCAAATTAAAGGCCACCAGACAGTGGCTAAATTGGTTGTCAGATTGTAGAACTGTAAGCTAATTTTGAAGAGGTTGGTTCATTGGCACTCAACTCGTACTTTAAGATTTAGGTGTTGCACTTGCATTAAATCACTTCTCTTTTGATGTCAATTTTAGTCAACACTCCAGTGACATGTTTAATGCTAGAGTCAATAGTACTGTACAAGAAATCTCACAAATTTGTAGTCTCTCTCTCTCTACTTTAAGTTATAAACTACTGTAGGTTCTAGATGATTGATCCTGAATACCATTATGTTTTTAGTTCATCTCCGACTATTTGGCATAATTAGACCTACATAAAATTAGTTAACAATTTGAGAAGATGTAAAAGCCATTCGACAGAAAACATAAATTAAATAAAACTAGAAGTAGAAAGTTAGTGTATAATTTAGAATGGACTGGAGTGACTGTTAATGAAACTGATAGAGAACCTAATATTTAATTTCAATAATTTAATAAATAGAGTGAGTTATCTAAAAACAAACCATGCCAGAACACACTTGACCAGCTGCTGATTATTGCCTTGGTAAGCTATTGCCTCACCAACTAACTAATCAGACGGAACTCCAAGTTGAGGAGTGACTCGGAATACTGCCAAGATATCAGTATCTTTGGTACACCAGAGGTGTATCCTTCCCGGTCCTCTCGTACTAGGGAAAGGTCCTCTTAATGCTCTAACGCCCACACCAAATACATAATAACAGAAGTTAACTTTGGTTGGTTAATCCAATTAGTTCATTGATGGTCCGAACATCTTCTTTAAAACCCTTGAACCTGGTCATTTTAGAAGAAATTTCACGACAAAAAAGCACTTTTTCACTCCTTCATATGCTAGAGGATTTCACTTGGAAAAGCCGGAGGAAGGTGATGATGACGCCACGTCATCATGTCCCTTATGCCTTGGGTGACGCACATGCTAGGAAGGCCTCGGCAAGCTGCTAAAAGAATTCAGTTTAAAACCAGGAGGCCTTATCTTTTTAGGAATAAGCGATATAAAAAAGGTTGAGAGAGAGTAATTTGTCTTTGATCTCTTTCCACATTTGATTTAACTTTTACCAGAATGGAGCTGGACAAATCAATTGCATTCAAGTTGAGTTTTGAACGGCTGACAATGTATACTTTCTTACCAAATCCCTGAGACAACAAGAAACTAATCCTTGAGGGGACAAATGCAAGTAGTAACTTGGTAGCTAATCGTTTTTTCTTTGAAAATAACCCCATCCCCCAAATATACTAGATTGCTTTCTTATATATATAGATTTTTTAGATTGCTGGCTGTTGATCTAACATCATGCGACTGCTTCAGATTGCGGATGTATGGTCCTGCGGGGTCACTTTATACGTGATGCTCGTAGGTGCCTATCCATTTGAGGATCCTGAAGAACCTAAGGACTTCCGAAAGACGATTCATAGAATCTTAAATGTTCAGTATTCCATTCCAGAGTATGTTAATATTTCTGAGGAATGTCGGCAGCTAATTTCACGGATCTTTGTTGCAGACCCTGCACAAGTAAGCTCTTCCACCTTCGAGAAATATACATGTATCTTTGTTGCGAAATTGAAGTATAACATTTCATTTTCATAG